CATTATCTGGGCTGCATTGGTTATATCTTCAATTGTCTTTGGATTTTTGAAATCCAAAAAATCAGACAAAGCAGCTCAACTTACATTATGGAAACGAGATCGAATAGCTTCAAAGAATAATAAAGAGTAAGCGCATACAAAACATAGAGCAAAGCAAGCAAGGCAAGCGAATAGCATTGATTCAAGGACGGGTATGCTGTGTTAAAACCTCGGCTCAGCACGGAAATTTTGAGGGCAAACTGGTATTCGTTTTTATAGCGAAAAGCAAGGGGATATCGTAAAATATGCTTTGCATACATATAGCCGCTTTTTAGATGTACTGCTTGCGTCACGAACGGTTTACTGCACAATTGACGTGCTCCACAGTTTGATGACAAGCGCGCGAATTTTGAAATGTAATGCTTCACTGAACGAATGTCGTAAAGGGAAGGCGACAAAAAGGTGACTGGGAGGTTTCAAACACACATCTGAAAATCAAGTTCGAATACTGATTTACTTTTGCTTATTTTTCTTTAACAAGTGGTGATAATGTAATATAATTGAGTTTATTATTTTTAGTGAGATTTGCCTTCAATTAATTTTTATTTCAATGGAAATTTCTTTTCTTTTATTTTCAGGTTGGAAATTATTTCGAATTTTTAACTTGGACTTCTGTAAATACATATATCGGGCTTTGTTAGGACAAAAATAGATTTTCATAAATGCACATAATTTTTAAAATTTACTATTTATCTTCTTGTAGAGCTGAGCCAGAATACTGTCAAGTTTTTTAATCAAGTTATCCATTTTGAACTTTTCTATTTGATCAATTAACATCAGTCTCAAACCCTTCCGAATTGTCTACATGCATACCAAAAAATCATGTCTGAACCCTGCAAAAAATCAGAAAAGCCGTCTTCCTGTAACTAAAATTTAAAAAAACAATGAAGTACATCCTAGAAAAGCAGGGAAGTAACTTACCTCTTCTTTAACAGCATCAACTTCAGCTAATTTCTTTCTCAATTCCTCTACCTCAATCTGCAACTCCTTCTTGCGTTTCTGTTTCGAGTATGAGACTTCAATTTGTGTCTAAATCACATCAGAGCAATTATCCAGCTAGGCATGCATTTAAGTCATTGTGCTTTTATACCTGTAACTCTTTGACTCGTGCTTCGAACTGCTCGGCCAACTCTTTAT